CGGCGGGGTTCGGGGGGCCCCGCTGACCCCCGGTGGGACGCGCTGGTCCGGGCGACGTGAGAAGGGGTTGCGGTTCCAGATCCAGCACGCACGCGGCTGTGCCCTCTCGGCGGGTGCTAGCGTTGGGAAAGCGGTGCTGGGCTGTTGCACCGCGTTAGTGTTTTTCTGGCAAGGCGTGAACGTCCAGGACCTGGAGCCTCTCATGACTGTTGAGGAGCGGGAGGCCGTGTGGAACTGTTTCTCTTGCCATCTTGCATCGTTCCTAAAACGTGCGTGGCTGATGCCCTCGAGCAGCCGTGGCAAACCACAGGGTAGATATGTGGGGCTGGTCCCGCAGGCAGTCCGGGTGGAGAGCGGAGATGAGAAGCTCTGAAGGCAGGAGGATGTCCTCTTGCAGCCCAGTGAAGAGCGCTGCCTTTGCTTTCAGTCAGGTGGGAAGTTAATGGAGGCAGTTTCTTCAGCCAGAGCTGCACCTCAGTCCCTGTGAAGAAACACTTTTTTACTGTGAGGGTGACGGAGTGCTGGCACAGGTTACCCAGAGAGGTTATGGGGTCTCTTGTCTCTGACCTTAGTGGTATTCAGAAGCCATCTGGACATAGTCTTAGGCAGTCAGCTCTAGACCACCCTGTTCAAGTGGGGTGATAGGACAAGATGACCTCCAGAGGTCCCTTTCAACCTCAACCGTTCCATGATACAGGTTGCCCTTTCACTTCTTCCTTCCCTTTGTGCAATGGCAGACTGTGCTGGCAAGATGCACCATGGCAACAGCACGATAGCCAAGGGTGTGTTCACCTCCTTGGGGAAGCCTGAGGTTAGCAGTGGGGAGGTGGTTCTTACCAGTTTTCTCTAGAGATCCTGGCAGCGATGGGGCAGAAGCTGAGGTAGTGTGGGTTCCCTGGCTGGCTTCAGGAGTGTGAGGTGGAGGAGCTTACTGGTAGGGGCTCATGCAGCAGACGTGTTTACATCATCCCCTTGAAAGCTGGGATGTGAGGCTTCAGATTCAGGCTTTGATTTTTCCAGTTAGGTTGTGCTGGGTTGAAGCTAGGTGACACAAAGGCTAAGGGAAATCTGGGGAAGGAGTGAAGCTGGGAACCTCTGCGTGGCTGGAACACAGGGGATCCCAGCTAAGAAAAGTTCCAAGAACTGTTGCCTTGAGGTAGGGGTGTGCACTCAGTTTACTGCAGCTTGGAAAATTAGTTAAAGCAAAGTAATTTACATACGTTGTTGAAAACTTTAGCTGAAGCCACTTTTACTGAGGTTTAAGTCATCGTGTTTCCCTCTTAGTTTAAGGTAGACTGTGCATACAGTTATGGCTTAGCCAAGAGGCGGCAGCAAGTCTGTCATTTTGTAGTGTCTGTGTCTTCAAGCAGTGAGAGAATTGTTAAAACATTTTTGAGCTTCTGTGTTTGAAACTCATGCCTTGGGAAAAGTGAGTGCATTTGATTCTGTACTGCATGTCATGGCTTTTGGAGGTTTTGTGATAAGTACATCTTAAGCTTGTTGTTCTATGAAGTACATAAATTAAGATATCTTGTTCATTAATGCACTTTATTTTTTTTTTAGCTCCTATTTTGATGAAAAGGGTTTAGTCAGGCAACAGTTGGATTCTTTTGACGAGTTTATTCAGATGTCTGTGCAGAGAATTGTTGAAGATGCTCCACCGATTGATTTACAAGCTGAAGCCCAGCATGCCACAGGAGAAGTGGAAGAGCCGGTAAGTGGAGATCCCCGGCAGAGGTGGTGTGTTTTTACAATGTAAGATGATTTTAGATGGGTTTTATTCAGCCCTTATCTTGAGAGACAGAAACACATCTGGGTTATGACACTGCTCATGCAGTCAGTAGGACAGAACCATGAACTCTTGGGAGTCTGAGGTACATGGCCGAGTTTCCAGATAGTCAGGCATATGGCTGAGAAACACGTGAAAGAGCTTTGTGATCCATGGGATCGAACTTCCCTCTCCTACAGAGTTACTCTCTCCTGCTGGTTAAATTGTTGGCTGAGTGGAGAAATGACGAAGAACAATTTGCTTCTGCAGCTCACGTTGTCACTTGCTGCACGAAACTGCACTGGCAGGCATGTAGCAGAGCAAGGCAGGTAGCCAAAAGCAAACCGTGTCTTGATGGGATTTTGACTTTCAGTAGCTTTTCCATGGGGAGGAGCGTTTATGGCTGAAAAGTTCTCAGCTTTCTTCGGCCAGAGTTAGGTCCAGGTTTTCAAAGGGTGCCATTGCTCATCGTCTTCCATTAGCACCATGTTCCAAAGGAGAACAAATTGTCTAAGGTCTGCGCTGTGATGGCTCTTCTGCAATGAGCGTGCAGTGGCTGTGGTGCGTTCATCCTTGTCCCTCATGTGGTGATCCCTGTTCCCTAAGTGATCCATTCCCCTGCTACCAGTCACTACCTTGCTGCTTTGCTGTGGAGATTTGAAGGAACTTCAGGACACCCGAGCACTGAATTTGTGACACGCTTTGACTGTTTCTTTGCATTTATTTGCAGGCAAACAACTACCCTGTAGAGAGAATAACTGAGATTTCTTTTAGTTTCTTTGTTAGACAAACCGTAAACATTTGTCTCGCTGTAATTCTCCTGAGTGCTTGTTCTGTTATTCTGTGTATGTTATTGCGGAATTCTCTAGTTGTGCAGTTCTGCGGTTGCTATATGTGCTGTATGTATGTAAGCATGGTATGTATGTGGCTTCTTTTTTGCCCAAATGTTAGTACTTTACTTTCTCTAATCAGAGAGGTTAGGTTCTTATTTATCAGATTAATGTTTTTAGGAATAGGTGTGGATATGAGAAAAAGGAAATTTGCTTTTTCATTCAGAGTCACTTGCAGGCAAACTCTTGCCTCATTTGAAGATAGTGGATTAATTTAAGGAGGCTGAGTTTATTGGGCTAATTTGATTTTTTGTTTCTTTCTCCCTCTGCTTCTCAGCCTCAAATTTTGAAGGCAATTTAGGCAATGTGTAGCACATCAGAGGGTTTAACAACCATACTCGGAGATAGTAATTGTGGTAAACGTGTTCTTGAGAGTGCTTGCATGAGAACTTGGGAAACTTTGTACCGTACATGGCTGCCGCTGCAAATTCAGGAAAAAGGTGTTTCTTTGGGCAAGAATTGAGAGAATTTTTGTGCCCTACAAAATGTTTGCTGACAAGGCTGTGCTGCTTACTGTTGTAGGAAGCTTTGGTGCCTTTTTGAAATCATATTGTTTTCAGGTCCTTTCCAGTAATTCAAGTCTTACTTTGTTTACTGATCCTATAGAAGCATTCTAGGAACTGGTGTTACCCAACTTGCTTTATTTTCAGTTATTGATAATGGTTATCCTTCTCTGGTAGCAGTTTTGGTTAGTAATAAGTAAGAGAGAATATCTTGAATATAGAAGGCTGATTATTAGTATATTTTGTGGATGGGGCTGCAATGACACTTCAGTTTGTCTGAAAGCTGTGGTTTTTTGGCAAGTTGATGCAATAATCTGTTTTAATCTCTAGAGGAAACAAAACCACCTAGCGCAGATGTTAAAAAGGTGATTTCTGTGGCTCTGTGTAAGACAGAATATATGGAATGGACAATTTGCAGCTTTTCTTGTAATAGTGAGTCTGGAGAAAGGGCTGAATATGAGGACTTTGGAAATATGTTTTAGAAAGGCTAAAACCGCTTGTGACATAAACCATAAACTGATTTTTTTTTTCCCTTTGCATTGGAGCTTGCTCTGCTAGAGCAAGTGTTTCTTTTGGTGGTGTGCTACAGCAGTGTTCTTATGGCTGAGACAGGGTAAAATGCCTGCATGGAATTCAAGCTTTGGATTAGTAATAGGTATTCTCAACTGGCTTCTAGGCAGATACTTAGTTGGGGTGGCAGCACTGTAGTTCTTTCTTTGTGTTAGCTTCTGTTCTGGAAAGGGACATGGTAGAAAATAGTAACTTTCAGGAAACGTTGTAAGGCAGCAAGCCTTTCAAGTTGTATTTCTGCAGGTCTGATGATTTGCTTACATTTCTCTATCCCCTGCATTTTGGTCTGTGAAGGAACGCTTTGTGAGTAGAGTGGCTCATCTCTGGGTCCTTTTGCACATAAGGAGACCAAGAGCCAAGTTGTCTCCGCATGCTTGTGTGCTGGGATTGAGACCACACGTAGGAAACACTTGAACAAAGCTACTGTCGTGTAACTGCTTGCTTTCCTTTATGTTCTAGCTCCCCCTACCAGACACACAAATGTCATTTGGTAAGAATACTGTTTTAAAACTTTTATCCCTTTTTTCAAATGCAAGGATTTTGATTTAAGTGAGCTGAGTGCTCTAAATCTCATTGCAGTAGGATTTTGAGGGATAAGCGGCTCTGGGAGCAAAATGAAGATCCTGAGAATTGTTCTGTTGCTGAAAGGTATCTGTCCTTTCACGCCCATGGTTTCACTGCAACACGTGAAAGGATTTCTGTGGAACTAAATCAAAGCTATTAAATTTAATGTTTTGTGCATGGGAGCAAAGCTTTACAAAATCTCGCACCTTGTTTGATCTGTCAGCTGTCTAATTGTACATGTTGAAGCAGATTCACCTTTTTGCATCATAAAACTAGCAATGTTCTGCGTATTCTATTTATTTATATATTCACAGACTTGGCAGTTTTTGAGTTAGTTAGCAGTTTCTTACGAAAAAGACCTATTTGGGTTCTTTATTCTTCTCTTACCAATGGTTTTGACCCTTCAGATTCCTCTGAGTTTTTTTATTAATGAGATGTTTAGAAATTATTGAAAGTTTTTTGAGTGCTTTTTTGATCTAGTCATCTGAAGAGGGATTGTTTCCATACCTTGAGCTGAGGACGTGCGGCAGCATTGGTTATTGAGTAGTCAGCATGGATTCACCAAGGGGAAATCATGCCTGACCAATCTAACAGCTTTCTACGATGACATGACTGGCTGGGTAGATGAAGGGAGAGCCATGGATGTTGTCTGCCTGGACTTCAGCAAGGCTTTCGACACAGTCTCCCATGATATCCTCCTAGGGAAGCTGAGGAAGTGTGGGCTGGATGAGTGGTCGGTGAAGTGGATTGAGAACTGGCTGAATGGCAGAACTCAGAGGGTTGTCATCAGCGGCGCTGAGTCTAGTTGGAGGCTGGTGACAAGTGGTGTCCCCCAGGGGTCAGTACTGGGCCCAGTCTTGTTTAACTTCTTCATCAACGACCTGGATGAAGAGATAGAATGTACCCTCA